AATATTTGGTGAAATGTTATAAGGTTAATTTATGATACATGTATTATTACTATTATCAATAATAATGCATTTTACTATTATCCCCCATATTATAATTTTTTTAAATTAGCCAAAGTTAATTTTCAAATATTATAATTATTGACCTAATAGCCTATTATTACTGTTAGGTTTTCTTAGTTGATACTAGTAAACAGGAATATAAAAGTCTTGATACACTGAGGACAATAATTAAGCAGAAAAGACCACAACTGATATAGAAAATATTTTACTTTAATTAGATTAGCAGTTTTGTATGCTACCACAGTGTATTTCCGAGTTAATCTGTATAACCTGTGAATGGTAGCAAAAAACCACTGAATGAGTTATTTAAGAACTTGGAGTAGTTTTCATCTACATGAAACATTTAGTCAATTGTAATTTAGAAAACTAGTACCCACCATGTCTGCTAGTTTTCTGACAAGATGTAGAAAAGTAGGAAAATATAGGCAATGCTGTCCATGAACACAAAACTTAAACTTAGGTTCACCAACACCCTAATTCTGTCCTTTCTGAAGAATTTTTCTCAAATGACTTTCTTGGGTATAGCAGATTTAACAATCTGCACACCCTTATTGAAAGAGCAGGTTTGTCACGCTATTGCCGAAATCAACATAACATCAGACGTTTTTGATTTTTTTTTAATGTGACCTTACAACCAGCAAAATTCAAGATTCAATTACTATGATGTTATTTTGACCTACCTTGGTTGCTTAAATGTCCGCACTCATCGCCACACACCTTTTGCATTTACTTCAGCAGTAGGTCTATCAGCTTTCTTACCTCGACTTTGAAATTGTAGCAAACTCTTAATTTTGCAGTGAATGAGGGTTAGAGGCCTGACCTGTGACTGGGTTTTCTGGCAGAATCCAGCAGTTTTTTTCCCCCAAAATATATTTAAACCTGTTCTAATTTCATTGATGATTACTGACATTCTTCATTTTTTCTTTTTTTCTTTTAACAAGAGGGATAAAAAATAATTTATGATACCAAAAACTATCACAAAATGTACTGGCGCTTTCATTGATAAATATGAGACAGACAAATGTCAGCAAGAGAGGAATTTGACACAGATCCAGTCAGAAGTAGTATCTTCAGCTAGCATTGATTGTAGTTGTGCATGATTGGATAATGTTGATCTAAGCGACTTCAAGCTCGTAACTCGGGTTTTGTGAACCATGCTTTAAATTCAAGCACAAATATTCTCCCGACCAAAATATTGCAGAGTTTGCGAACCAAATACAGCATTCATTTATTCATAATTATAAATTTTATATTAATTATTATGGATTTTCCCCAAATATGTAATGTGTATTAAACCGAAAGTAAACAATATCTAAAAATTTCCAAATCGAGAGAATTATTACATACAAGTTTTTACTTTTAAATGTCTTTTAAACCGTTTTGTGTATTATTGTATTGTAATACAGTTTGTCTTGCCCAAACCATTTTAGAATTGGTGCAGTGTTTCATATTGCAGCCTTTCCAACCGTTAAGTCTGTGACCTTAAAGACCTCATGTTCAAACCTAATGCTGTGCCATAGAAACAGCTTTACATGTTTCCTTCAGGAATATTGAGCAAGGTAGACCTGCGTGTATATAGATAATTAAGCAAAATTTTCAAAGAAATGTGAAATGTGTTGGACTTAATCATCAGATGACTATAATATGACTTGATTATATTTTCATGAAAAGACTAAGGTCAAATAAAAAATGCTGTCAAAATTATCATTAGTTTGAAGCTAGTCGTTTGTCCCATCTGTCTTGACTAGATTCTCCGTCCCAACAAAAGACCATCATGCTTTAGGGCTGCTTCTGCCACCACAGTAGGTGTGGTGTTCTTTGGATAATTGTCTTTCAGTCAAACAATAACTTTTAAATCAGACCATAAGAGTTTCCAAAATGCTTTGTGTTGCCAATGGACAGTATATGTTTTTTGCCTTAGACCAGCAATTCTTAAGTTTGAGTTGTGACAAGTTCTGAAAGGGTCACGAGGCATTTTAAGCATCAGATTAAGATCAGATTTCCCAGCCCCAATCCTAGAACTAACCTATATGAATGGGTCTTAGGTCTGTAAATGCTTAGGGCAAAACTAGTGAACACTCAACCAATCCAAGAAGGCAAACCACAGATGCTTAACTTTAATTTCACTGGCACATCCAATCAGATTTGTGCGATAGGCATTGATTGGCGTAAAACTGCAGAGTGCTTTTCCTGTTATTTAACTTTGCAGGGTCTTTCTGTTCTTGGTCGTGTTCCTGTGGTGACACATTTTCTCCACTTATCGATGATAGTCTTCACAGTGCTCCATGGTACACCTGATGCCTTTGAATTACTTCTGTTCCCCTCTGTTGATGGGCGCCTTTGTAACAATATGTCATAGGTGTTTTAGCACATGTGGAACCAGGGTGTTGTATACATTTCATTCTGTTAATCTATTTTGAATGTTGGTTGAATGGTCACATTTCAGATGTCAGTCGTCTGACATGATTTATCTTGATTTCTGTTTTTCTGACCTCAGTTTTGTTATTCTTATGTGGAGAGCATTTCATTCCTTTATTGCTCCTTAGCCTGGTTTGTGATATTTGAATTCCTTCCATGCAGTGAAAAGAGAGAACCCATACAACACAACGTTTTTCAGAAAGGTGCATTTCTCATTAAGCCCACAATTGGAAGTGTGGATAAAGTAAAAACAATATGGTAAATGCAGAAAAAAGATTTGAACAACCTCTTATATATGACTGCAAAACTACTTATCATGGATATGGGGTGCAATGGAGCCTGGATTACAAGTATTGTAGTATATGCTTGAACAATGAGATTATATTAATAATGCAAAACTGCTATATCGTGTGCATTGTCCATTTAATGCTCATGGGGGAAAGTGGTTAGTTTTGGAGTTGAGCACTTTTTGATGTCCATAAGAAAAAAGCTTTGCATGCATTTTGGAAAGCAGCATCCCCTCACTGGGGAAAAAAATCAGTGAGGAACAAGTTGAATGAAATTGCATATGGGAATAGTATCTAATGCTATATTAAAACAGCAGTTATGTACTGTGCCTTTTATCTGCTTAGTGTTTGTGCTTTAATATTGCTTTAACAATTCTCAACATTATAAAATCCTCGAATAACTTTCTTCTTGCAGAAATGCCACCAGTTTACAGTTGTATCAGGAAATATTTGTTTCCATAGACTCTCTGCACGTCCAATGGCATGTTCCTTGGTCTGGAAAGATTTTCTGCTTAAAATTGTAATACAATTTGTGCATAATCCACCATCCATTTTTTTTTTTTACAAGTATTCGACAAATTTGGTTCATCCAGCTGTTTCCTGCTTATAAAGCACCTCTATTTTGATTATACCTGTTTGGAAGAGCAAAGCCCAATTATTCTAAATCAATGACTCTGTTAATAAGGGAGTGAAAATGCACCATGGCACAATATTTTGTGATTCAAAAAAATGGCAATACGCATGGTAGGTGTGTAACAATACACCATGGCACAAAATCAGTTAATTTTAATACAAGAGGGCACAATAGGCATAATCTCAGTTTTGCTTTGAGATTTTATTTTTGCATTTTGCACTGGAGTCTGTCTATCAATGTGGGATCTCATTCAGGTCGATGATTTGCATTATTTATTTCTTTACTTTTTTTCTTAGCACATTTATTCCATGTTAATCAAGTACTGTGCAGAGGAATAGTGTCTGGCTGCATTTATCAATTTTTTAAGAACTAAGAAATTTACAAAAGAGGAGGCCATTCAACCCATCAAGCTCATTTTGGCTTTTTTTTTTTTTTATTGCTTCCCCACACTGGCGAGAGTGCGACATGGAAGCATCAACATACACACCAAGGGCTTTCTCATAATCAGCTACCTTTATTTCGGTGGAACCCATAAAATATCTGTACTTTTATACTTCTGCTCCTTGCATGGATTACCTTACATTTATCTCTGTTAAACTTCATCTGCCCAGGTATCAGCCCAGTCGCTAATTAAATCAAGATCCCGCTGTAGCCTCTGTGCTGCTAGATCAGTATCTGCTACACCACCCACCTTGGTGCTGTTTGCAAATTCATTAATGTAAATTAGGAACAATAGTGGTCCTAAAATTGAATCCTGTGGTACCCCACTATGAACGCAGACCCAATTTGACATTTTGCCTCTAACTACTTGCTGCTTCCTGTCTGTTAACAAGTTTTCGATCCAAGCTGCTACAGTTCCTAAAATTCCTGAAGCTTTGAGCTTAAGCAAGAGCCGTTTGTGGGGGACAACATCAAAGGCCTTCTGGAAATCTAGGTAGATCACATCATAGGCCTTTTTGTGATCAATTTTTGTATTAATATTAGATTTTCATATCAGTTTGATTTATTCCATTTTCTGGTAGTCTACATTATATATTTTACTGTAAGAGGAAAGTGTTTAATGAAGTGCAAAAGTGTTTGTATTTAATGAGCATATTACACATGTGCTTTAATAAAATTACAATGACAAATAACATTGAAAATAAGCTGCTTGGTATAACTGCTGCCTACATTTGTTTCTGTCTCGCAAACTGACTTAAGTTTGTTCTAAATGCTCTTTCATGCTTATGCTTTCATGCTTATGTTTTACGTACATAACCATCCCCACTTGTGTGAAAACATGCCAGACATCTGACTGTTTTGGCCATTGATGACTGGTTTGATTTGCATTACTTGTGGCAAAAATATTTTGCTGTTTTAGAATTAGCCACAATTTTCTGTAGTTGGTATTTGGAACATTTTTTCCTTATCAATCTCTGGCCCACCTACGTTCTCTCTAATCTTTTTTTCCAGTTCTCATTTTGGTACATTTTTTAAAATTACATAGTTTATTTTTAGTTTTTCATGGTCAGATACTGATCCAAGACTGAAGAATTCTTCTTGCTGGTGTGAATTTGCCTGTCGACAGTATGAATTAATATATTCGTCTTACTTCTTTCCAGAGAGTCGTGGCCCTACTTCTGCATGGAAGAGGATATTGCATGGGATTCTGCAACGATGTTCTGAAGAGGACTGTCTGACTGTTCATGAATTCGTCACTCGGATTGCCGCAAAGCCAGCCCATACTTCTGTGCATATTTCTACACATCATCTGGCCTTGCACCCCCCCCCCCCCCCCACACACATCAGCCTCACTTCTGATCATGTAAGGGTTTAGCAGACCCCGAACGGACAGGATCTGGTATCATTTTGGTACAGCTGCTGACGCAGCAGATCGGTGTGAGTCGGCGTTTACCCCAGAGTACGTGAGGGATCCTAGCTCCCTGTGAGTGCCGCCCTCAGGCCCTCTAAGTGGATTAACCATGATGTTCCGAGACCAGGTGGGAGTACTAACTGACTGGTTCAAAAGCTGGAATGAGTGTGAGCAGACCGTGGCACTCCTTTCTCTCCTGAAGAGGGTGAGTCGCACCCAGGCTCGCTTCCTGCAGATCTTCTTGGAGCACTTGCTGGCAGATTGTACAGAGATCCACATTCTAGAGGCTGAGGCCAATAATGCAGGTAAAACTGAAACACACCATCTGATTTTTAACGATTTTTTTTCGCTTTTTTTTCTGCTATATATGGATTTTGACCAAATTGGTAAAAGAAAGTGGTTTGTGACTGAAATTTTATACTATTGTATTTTCGTTATAGCAGCATAGTTAAATGATATGATTCATTATTATGAGATAAAAAAGATTGAATGGAAACTGTGTACCTGCACAAAGAGCGATGTAATAGAAATTTACATGTAATCAGTGCAGCTCCCTGCCATGCACTCGTTAAAAGGAAAATGCTTGGCTTTGTCTCTGTTGTTTTTGTTTCAAAAATTTTGTTTAATCTTTCATACTGCCGTGGGCATTTCTAATTTGGAGCACACACCTTATCAGTACATGTTGTATAGAGCCTACTGGGGCGTGACATTACTTTGATGATGCTGAAAGTAACTTTTTACTAAATAAATGACTGTCATGGACCAGCAATATATGCTGAAGTGGTCGCATTGTGCAGTCAGGCTGTAAGTTGCACCTCATTAGCTGGGAGTCTGACTCGCATCTCCACTCTGCATGTGAGGAGTTTGCATGTTTTTACTGCGTAAGGGAGTTTCCTGTGGGTTCTCTGGTCCCCCCCCCCATCTACTCTTTTTAATTTTTGCAAGTGTGTGTGTATATGAGATGTGCTGGCATCCCATCAAAGTGTTCTTTAGCCTATGCTACGTGTGACAGACTACAGGCCCACTGCTATAAGCTATTGGATGATAGAGGAAGTAGCAATCTTTGTAACAGTCCCATAGGTATAATAAATGCCTTAGGAATCTCTGTCGGCGGTCGCTATTAATCACAGCACTGTGTGAATTGCAGCAGGACTGAATTACAGCATTTTTGTTTTCCCTGAATGAGGAATCCTTATGGCTTTCAGACTGGGATAGTGCCACAGACATTAATCACCTCAATAACTCAAAAAGTGTTTGATGGATCTTGAAAAACTTTACGGTTGCATTGTATGGGTGGGACTGATCAAATCTGAGATGACTAGCATCAAAAAAAATTGAAGCAGCACCATAGGTTGGTACCAAAGAGAAGGGTAGTCTTACATACATACATCTCGTTAGTGCGATAATGCAAAAATTATTTGTTAGGTCTTTTGCATACAGGAGCTGTGTAGGAGAAGGTCTGGAATGGATTTCATTTTGAGACAAGTTGTACCAAAATTGTGGCTGCAGCATTAAGCAGCAGCAAAGGAAGGAAAGGGTGGCTGCAAAAGACATTTGATCTTGTGAACATAGTACCTAAAAGTATTTGATAAATCTTTTGGATTTTTAATTTCACAGTAGCATGGATGGAAGATCTGTGTCTTTTTTCATTTTAAGATGCACTGCATGAAAATTGAAGAGGTGTAACTTAGCCACGGATGCAGATCTGGTAAAACTGATCACAATATCAACAACAACAAAAAATTTATTTTTGTATAGCGCATTATAACAACATTACATTGTCCCAAAGCGCTTTACAGCATCCCCACCCAAAGCCCCCAGTGAGTAAGCCATAGGCGACAGTGGCAAGGAAAAACTCCCCAGAAGGAAGAAACCTTGGGAGGGACCAGACTCAAAGGGGGAGCCCATTCTCCAGGGGCCGGCAGGGAGAGTCAAATACAGTTAAATCTGAAACACAAACGGGGAGCAGGGGGGAGATGACAAGCCGGTGCCACCACTCCCTCCAATCGCCAGGCAGCCAGAAGGCAAGCAGCGGGTCATACAAGGAAGATGACACAGGCAGAACGGCGAGCTGGATGCACGGTCGTCATTGGTAGTGGCGACGTCACTTGTTGCAGGGTGTGCTGGACATCTTGATAGGGTGAGGGCTCCAGGCAGCACCCCCCAGGAGAAGGTGGTGGAAATAAATGCAATTAGTCAAAGTAAGGGAGACTATAGGCAGTGCTAAAAGTTAGATGAGTGCAATATGAAGTGCAATGCTCCGGCAGATATGGCTATGGCAGCATTACAATATCACACAAAGTTGGGTTTTTAATAAAGATTTCTTTGGAAAGGTGGGAAGAGTATGGGGGTAGATATTGTAGAGGGGGTGTGGGACAAATAGTAATGGGGGGGGAGGTGGTAGGCGGGCTACTGTTTGGGTAATATATCCGACAGCATCAGCTTACTAAATTATATACAGACAATTATGAAAATGCCTAGCGTTTGTTTTACTATCAAGATGTCCATTTGGGAATGCTGCCATTCAAGTCCTGAACTGTGTGTAGCGGGATGTTGGACTGTTCAAGAAGGATGGAGAAATTAGAAATCTGCTGTCGGTAGCTTCTCTTAAAGGTCCTCTGATGTTGAGATCTTCTGATTGGGAATGGCCATAGAAGACATTTGAGTCCATTCTTTTGTTCTTAAAATATACTCTTGAATTTGTTTAGCATTGTATGGGGAAATTATTTTGAAACAGAGGAACATGAATGAACAGTATGTACCTCTCATTCTGTAAAATGTCCTAATTCCTTGGCCATTATAAGACAAATTTTAGACCTGACATTTATGGAATGTCTACCACTAGATGATTGGCCATTAAGGTGGTGGTGAAGTGATTAGTCATTGTTGACACACCACGGCACACAGCTATACAACTACGAAATGTGTTTTCTGCATTTAACCCACGTGTGACATCACGACACAGCAGGGGGCAGCTAATTCAGTGCCTGGGGTGCAGTGCTTGGGGGTGGTATCTTGCTGGTCAGGGATTCCAATCGGCAGTCTTTCGATTACAAGTGCGCTTCCCACGCTGGCCATATCAACAGACATAGTTGGCTGAAGACTTTGGCCAAATGTATCCCTCTGCCTGGATGTAAAAAGAGAGGTGAATGATCCATATCCTGAATTTTGTGTCTGCATTGGTCTGTGGCACGAGTAACTTTTAAATGACAACCCTGCTGATAGTCCTGGCTTTGTGAAGCTTGTGACTTAATGTTCCGTTGAGACTTTATCACAGGGTGTGTTGATTCACTACTTTGCTGATTTTGATGTCATAAGCATCCATCTGTCACTGTTGATGAGCTTTGACTTTATGCTGTCTGACTGTTTGAAATATGCTGTGATTTTTGAGACACTTCCTCCTGATATTTTTTTCCTTCCTTGGTACATCAAACTCACTATTTGACCCCTTTGGATCTCTTTATTTGCCGCAAAGTGCTGAATTGCCATACCTATATTCTGGCTGATACAGCTAGCTGGTAATTAGCATTCAGGTTAATATGGCTTTAGAAAGGGGAATAACTGCAGTCTACTGTGTGGCTGTTCTTTCCCTGAAGTCTGGGTTTGGGCTGGCTTCTCCACTGTGGAGGTTTTGCTAGTCCAATCAGACTAATGTTCCAAGGATGCCGGTTTTATAGTTGTGCCTTCTCTCTGTGCTGGGTCTTCTTCCCTAATTAGTGGTTTCCTCTCTGGTGTGGAATCCTGACAGTTGGCTGCTGTCCTTGGTGCTGCAACCTGTGCACCTGTCAGCCAGCTGGAGCAACAGATGAGGGGGGGGGGGGTCCTGGAGGCGCAGTCGTGACGTGTCTCTCTGCATGAATATAAGAGCATGAGTGTTTTTATTGCAGATTTATTACAGAAATAAGGTTTGCACATATCACCTTTTTCTTGCTGTATGATTGCTCTTTGTAGTTGTCTAAATATAAATAGATTAATCTCATGTGGAGTGCCTTAATGCTGTCTGCTTCAGAGCTGCCCGTGAAGTTGTTCCGCTGAACTGTCCTGTATATTCCAGTGGTAGCTCTCATAGTTTTGACTCTTGGTCAGAGTTTTGTTGAAGCCAAGCAAAATTGGTCTGTTACAGGCAGTCCCTGGGTTCTGAACGTCCGATTGCCATCAAGTCTGTTATATTTTGGGTTAAATACAATGGTTTTTAATTAGGGCTGGGACGATTATTCGACGTAATCGACGATGTCGATTATAAAAATGCATCGATGTGGAATTTTAGTGTTGATGCGTTGTAAAACTACGTAAATGTTTTGTAACTGCAATGCACACTGATAAGCTAAACGTATTGTAAGGGAAAATACTTTATCCCCTCTGGAGCACGTTAACACTGTCCTTTTAAGAATCACACAATAAAACAGTCTGCTAACAACTGAACTTTACTGTCCACCTGATGATCTCTTCACCACTCTAGAGCTACAATATTTTATTTATTGGACCTGCGTCATGGTTTTCATTTACAATGCAAAGTTATAAGCTGGCTAGTTGTTTCACTGCTGGCAACTATATCAATTATAGACTGAATTCCAACATAGTTTTGCCTAATATTGCCAGTGCCAGCAGTGCCACACTGTTTTGTAAGGCATTTGTTGGCCATTCATGTGGCACTTCTCTCATAAATATTATGAGAAATATAAATCTCCTACCACCCTGCAAAAAGGAAATTTGCCGCCCACCCCACCCCCCATGATTTAGCATCTGTTTCAACATTAAAGTCACATTGGTGTACTGAAATAATTAAATAAAAACTATTGCAGTGATTAACTTCAGTCTTACATAGAAATCCTATTGAATCTCTTTTGTTAATGCTCTGTTTAAGAAATGTTTTAATAAATTTGAAATGTTAATGAGAATTTCAGATTGGGGGGGGGGGGGTGCAAATTCAACTTAAATACAGGCTTGGGTAACAGAGCTTGTTGGTAACCTTGGGACTGCTTGTAAAATGGTTAATTACCACAGAAATGTTAAAACTATTAATTGGCTTGTTAATGAAAGTAGATACACACCTAAAGTTAATCTTTTTTTAGCACTTGGTGCCTCTGAACTCGTGGAAAGGTTCATGGTGATCCTGTATTGAGCAAGTGGTGATGGATGACGGTCATATCAGTTACTTGTTACACTGAAACAAAGTATTACCTCAGAAGTGTCTATTTGTGCTGTTGGGTACTTTAAAATGAGTTTTGCTTGGTCGTTCTTAGCATTTGTTACTAACCTGTGTCTTCAATAGTGCTGCTGTGTGTAGTTACGCCCAGTTAGTTTTTCACCCTAGACACACACATTTCTCGTTGTAGATCGCTTGCCTGGAATGTGCACACAGATTCCTCAGAGTCTGTATCATCCTGCATTCTACCAGGCACCTCCCTTGAGCTGCAGTCAGACCCATTTTGAGGCATACTGTTAGTGATCCTCTGCTAGAGGAAGGACGATTGCTTGGGGAAAATGTCTCTGTCTGTGTGTCTGCCTGTGTGTATGTAAGAGAGAGACAATGTGTGGATTAACATGTTACCAAACTATGCAGTAAGACGTGTAAGCTCAATTTCCTGGCTTCGTTGAATGTTTGTATTTTCAGGTTTTGTTTTCTGATTGTCCACTCTGCTAAGACAGATGCCCCTCACATGGTCCTGCCTTAGTCATGTGTTCCATAAACATTTAAATGAACCAGGTGTGGAAATAGAATTACATAATGATGTATGGGAAGGTTATTATTGGTCATCAGGTGTATCACCCGGTTACCCAAATTAGATTTGTGTAAGTTTGGTGTAAAGAGAAGTACATCTTAAAAGTTGAGATAAGATTAACTTTGTCCAAGGGGGAAATTCTGAAATACTGAATGGAATACTAGTACACTGCAGGCCATTCTTAGGCATGTGTATTCATTTGTAAAATTATGTGTATAACATTGAGCTTTTTGGGAATCTTGTTTGACCAACATGCCCATGGTTATTTAGAAACAGGAAAGCAATTTCATAGACATGCTACTCTATCGTTCATTTTTTTTTATTGTACCACGTAATAGAGAACATCTATTGTACGATGACGTCCTGAGTCAATATCAAAGATCAGAATCAGGGCCGATCCAGGCTACCACATCAGCTACCACATCAGCCACCACAGCCCAATCCAAAATCTGATCTATTTAATTTCTCACGTCCCACTAATTTACATCAGTTGCACAGATTTCAAGGTCCCGTCACACGCGGCATTAAAGCTGAGATGCATGGCATGTGTCAGTTGATGTAATAAGTGGAATGGGAGGTTTATCAAAGTGACGGCAAAGTGTAAATGTTTGGTGCTTATTTATCATTTTTAATTACTGAGACCTTGTATGATGTGATCATTGTGAATGTCTTTCTGGTATTTATTGAGGGAAAAGTAATGTCATATTTGCTCATGGCGTTTGATCTCAGCACAGCAGAAATCTGCAATTTAAAGTCCAGGTCTGTAGAGGTTTGGAAACGGATTTTTAAAGGTATTTATTTTTGCAGATATTAACTAAGTATTAATTAGTATCTTGTGTCCTGTTTTCCCTTCATTCAAAACAGCTATTGTCAGCCAATGGCATCATGAACCCACAGAGAAGGTGGTTTCCTTGTTACTATCCCACCTACCCTTGCTGCAGCCAAGGAACAGTGAAGCCAAATGTGAGTACATGAAGCTTCTCCAAAAGGTGCTGAGTCACACCATCGAGAGCAGTCTGTTTGTGGAGGAGAGCAGGCAGCTCCTTTCGTACGCCCTCATCCACCCTGCCACCAGTCTTGAGGACCGCACTTCCTTGGCCATGTGGTTGAACCATCTGGAGGAGCATCTGTCTACTGGCTACATGCCCATGCGGCCGCCCGTTGGTCCTTATCACTCCCGCCAAGGCTCTGACGAGTGGGTCTGTTCGGAGGCCTCAGACCCTGGTCATGCTTGGCAGGGCAAGCCCACCTCCAGCTCCTCCTCAGGAAGCCAGAATGGACACCTGAGTTTTCATGGGCCAAGTGGAGTGCCCTCTCCGATCAACAGCGTCTGCACCGGCACCAACACAGGTGAGATACCGTCTCTGCATGATAGGATGTGGGATTATCTCTGCATGCAGTTGACCTCTTGATCTCCATGTGGATTGTATAAATATTTACAAGTAGGGGGCAGTACTTGTAGTTTAATCACAGAATGATTTTTTGTACATGATTGCAACCTCAGTTTTTGGGGCGGTGTGTTTTGTGGATTCGGGTCCTGTGCCCCTAGACAGAGGGTTGTTGATTCCAATCCCGTGGCCACCAGAGTGCTGCCATCATTAGGCCCTTGAGTTAGGCGCTTAACTGCAGTTTCTCTAGGGGCTCTGGACACTAACCATCCCTGCCCCGTCACCCCCTACTCTTACCTGTATGTGTGTCCGTGTCTCATCCAGAACACGATGGGGATGGCAAAAAGACAATTTCCCTATGGGTATGAATAAAATGCCAGTGTTCTATTTTAGAAGTATTGTCACTGAAATGAAGACTGAGGTACATACGTTACATGACCTAAAACTGTTTGAATAAAAAAAAAAAATCCATGGATAACTATAGAATACAAGTGTCCAATATCTAATGCTGTACGACTATGTGAAAATACGCAATTTAAAGTTGTATGAAATAACAGTGCAATATGCAAGTTGTTCTGAATAATTAGCAGAGAAGGACTTTGAAATGTGTACTGTGTTTGCTAACTGATCAGGGGCACCTGCCCTCCAGGCAGAGACTAAAATTACTGAAATATCTCTGCAGCCAGATCTTTGTATATGTATATTTATCCACTAAAACTGTTTAAAGCCAGTTTAAAATGGTTTTTACAGTAATCCAAAGGGAACAACCAAAATGTGCAATATTTCACTTTTTGATACTCTAGGATCAGTTGCCTAAACCACAGGTATATTTTGGCCCCTGAGAAGGCTGGGGTTTGCTTGTAATTTTTATACCAGTATATTGTCAGTTTTATAAAATGTGTTTATCAGGTGTTTTAGTTGGTGCTCTTTTTTTTTTTTGCAATTTAACCGATTAATTTAAAGGAATATATTTTTTTCTAAATGAACACCAGTATGGAAAGGTGTAAATTAGTTCAAACCAAAAAACATTTTAGGAAATCGAGCGTACTCAATGAAATGACAACTTCCACTTTCTGCTTCCTCTTTGCCAAATCTAAACTTTAATTTAGCGATTCATTAAGTATAGAAATGTTTTTACTTTGACTTTTTAATATAACGAGGGAGACAATCCTGGTTTGAGGTGTCATGATTGTATTTTAAATTTAGATGACCGTTAATTGTTAAAGTGACACTTTGCTTTTACTGCCTCTACACGCAGTGTTGTCTAAGCAGATCCACCCCAGCCCACTGAAGAGGTCCATGTCCCTGGTGCCCTCCAGTCCACAAGCTTGTAGTACAGAATGGCACGGCCAAGAAGAAGGCGGGGGACGGCCAGGCATTGGGACCACGGACCACGCCCCCCTGTCCCCCCAGAGCAGTGTCGCGTCTTCTGGGAGTGAGCAAACTGAAGACCAGGTTGCCACTCGTAACACTTTCCAAGAGGAGGGTAGTGGAATGAAAGGTAAGTGCTTTTTGACAGGGTGGAGAACTTGGAGTCGCACATCTGCTAAATTGCGTGAGGATGGATTAATCGTTTAAATAAACATACATTTTGATGTACCCATGTATGTACATTTTAGGTATGTATAAGTATGTCTCATTTTTACAATTCTGGTGTACTAAAAACGTCCAAATAAACAAGATTGAGAATTCACACTTTAAATATCAAGTTCTATAACAGTGCACTTCACTGAAGCAGCTACATTTCAGCGCTGAGCTGAATATCTCTAGGGTGTAACCTTGGTCTGTATATGGGTAGTCAACCACTTTTTAGAACTCTCCCACATAGCTAAATAAAAGTCAAACATTCTCTTTTATTCATATCTTTCTGTGAACATTTTGTAGTCCTGAATGGGTCTACTAGCACGTTGTTTTTTTTTTTTTATATCTTCCAACATTAAGTACTCTTAGGTTCGAGCTTACGATAAAGAGAGCAAACCGGAAACAACTCTGGAAAGGAGAGGGTCATTTCTTGACCACTGTCTGGCTAGATTTTACAGGATGTTTTGTATAGTGGAGCATAAACCCAACTGTTTGACAAACCAGTGACAAGCTACACAGAACAGAGGGTGTAGATACTGCAATAGTGGATATGGAGACTCGTAGACTTGGAGATTACTCACCCCAGTCAACGTTGCCAACATTACGTATAAGAATTACCTTTGAAATATAACTCTTATATGTACTATTCATCCATTGTTTTGACTGAAAGCTATGTGCTTTTATTTTTTAAACAATTTTAAATTGACTTCCACTAATCAAAATTCTGAAGCTAATTTGCGTAATTTACCTAAGGTTAGCAAAGTTAAGGCCCTGACATTATAGCCTGGATTTGTGAATTGTCTAACTGAAGAGGGTCATCTAACATGTAAACACTGATTATTTACCAGCCACACTCACTAGAGACTAGAAAATTAGGTCGTGTTTTTTAACCTGTCAGACAAATGCATGTTTAGCAGCTACTCCATTCGCTCACTGATTTGGAATTGGGTTTAGTAATATCGGACAAATTATCACTGTTTTAAAAGCTGCTCCTTCCTCAGCCATCTCTTTATCAGCAATCTGTCTTCATTTGCTGGCCACTGATATATATGTCAATATTATTATAGTTCTTGTAATTTTGTTTTTGCATTAGAATGTTTGTGGAATATTTCTAAAGAACGTATGCCTTAATTACCTTTTTATGAGCTGTTGTATTACACAGGGAAAACTATACACCTGATTAATTTGTTTTAAAGATGAATACATTGAAATTCATTGATATTACTAAAGCTATAATTACCGGTTCTTCACTTCTGGCCAAAGGACCGGCTTAAATGGGTGAAATTCGAAAAGTATGTTGTAGCTTGAAGATTGATTCTAATGTAGACTTAAAAAGCTCTTTAAAATTTTGCTGCGGAAATATCCCACTTCATGAAAGAAACTTGACAAGCATGTAATTAAGTGAAATTAGCTTGAATGATTCACAGCCACTTTTGAGACCCTAAATCTCAGATCATCTCTATAGCTGCATTAGCTGGATAACCTTCATTGCTATTATGTGTAACCAGTTGTCAATTTAAAAAAATTAGATGTATAAAAACTATCCTGTTTGTAGTGCGTTGCATTCTTAAGGGTCGTTATTTTGTCTGAAATTGTTAGCTTCAACCCTACATTTAAAATAAATGTTTAAAAAGTCTACATTGATGTATACCTGCATTGTTTCTAGACCCTGAGGATTAGTAACCAGCTTTGAATGATTAAGTTCCCAAAATGAGAATAGAGAGAGAGCAGCTAAACGGAATATTAATTGTGCTTTTGGTTCATGTTTTATGACTCTTTGATATTGAAAATAAATAAATTTATCGTCTTCGTTCAGTTCCCCTGGAGGAGGGAGTAGAAACAAAACTCTGTGTTGTATAGTAAGTGGAAACCAGAACAGGAGGACTGAATACACAAGATATTCACTTAAGTTTGCGTGTAAGAGAAGAAAGAATGTTTCGACCTGAGTAACTGCAGCATCCCCATGCAGATGTGCCCGCTTGGCTGAAGAGTCTCCGTCTACACAAATACGCCGCCCTTTTCTCCCAGATGACCTATGAAGAGATGATGATCTTGACTGAGCAACATCTGGAGTCACAGGTGAGGGGACGTCTCTGTTCTCCGTGAGCTATATATTACTGGGGACCTTTGGGGGTTTTTAATGTATATGTTTTGAAAAATAATTTCAAACAATTTGTACAATTCGTGTGGTGGTCTAAATGCCCATAATGACTATACAGTACTTGTACTGATGAATTCAAGTTGAATAGGCCTTTTCCCCAATGGCTAAACTGGTTATTATGAAAGGTAATACTACAGAAAATGTATAAGGTGGAGTTGCCATACCCTTCTGGCAGGAAGACCTCCAATAAGCAAATATGAAAATGGGAATTGACTGCAGAAACCAAAAACAGTAGATTTGTTCAGCGGTTTTAAAAATGTCGCTTGTGCGCAATTGGGCGGCATGAAATTAGATTTGTTATTCGTTGACCTGCAGGCTTCTGAATTGAACTGTTGCTCAGATATGGAATGATGCATGTAACTGTCCATTTTAAATGCATTTTTAAGTACATGTTTAAATGTTAAAAGCAGCAGAGTGATTGTAAGGTATAATCTTTGAGAAGGCAGTCTAGCTTTTTTCCCCAATTTGAAATTGTGATAGCTGACAGAAGTATGTGATTGAACTTAAAATATTTAAGTTCTGCATAAAATGAAAGGCCACTCAATTTCAAGATGGTATATTTGCTTGACTATAGAAGTTTGTGCAACATATTTCGTCTTAAGAGCTCTGCATTAGAAACCTATATACAACTAAGCAGAACAGCAAAAATGTTTTGCTTAAGCCCTAGATAGTCATGAGATGAAATTGCAAGAGTAGAGGCAAAATCAGTAAAATGAAATGTATAGCAAGCACTTTGTTGGAAATGGAATCCTTAGAGATCTTTGCTCAGTCGGTTTTAAAATATTGCGGCTCTATGTTGAGATAAAGGAGCAGAATCAAAAATTATCCGCTGACGTTGAAGGGTACAACAACGCCGTCTCAGCATCTGATGATGTGACTCGCACAACGTATGTCATGTCCTGGCCGCTACCTGCAGTTGTAATTGCTTCCTGAATTTTTATTATTTTTTTTTTTGCAAAAGGGTGAAATTCAGTATATACTCACTAAGGAAAAGATCAGTGGTAAAAACAAATTTTGCAGATTCATGAGGGAACACCTCGTTTTTCCTCTGCAGAATGTCACAAAGGGGGCCCGCCATAAAATCGCCTTAAGCATCCAGAAGCTGCGAGAGAGACAGTGTGTTCTTAAGTCCTTAGAGAAGGTAAGACGCATGTCCATTTGGATAGACAGATTTCATATAAAGAAAAGTGTTTATTTTCTGTGTTCTCCTTTCCATTGTTGGGCACATATGTTTGTGGTTACTCAAAATACAGTGGACATGGAAAAAAAAATCAGAGTGTATAATGCATTAGCCTCTGTTTTCTGCTTAATCTGTTATTCCCTCAGCAAATCGGAATTGAGGTTCTTTGCACTTTAGGCAGATCTATCCCCAAGTGGACTTATTAAACCTTTCCCTCTGAATAGGAGTAATAACAGCTGTAAAGCTATAGCACTGTGGATTTTTTTTGTTTTGTGAGAGATACATCAGAGAAGTTCATAAAGGTTATTAGTAGTGCGTTTAAATGCATCTTTAGGACAAAGGGAAATTATTTGTTTTGGAGTCATTATTGGAATCTTTATGTATGACCTTGTTGTCTAGGAAAATCCAGAAAAATAAATGTTTAATTCTTTTATAATGTTAAGCTAAATTTAGCCTTGAATTTGAACTCTGCTATTGATTAATCAGCCTTAATTGAGATAGTAGTTGAATACATTGTGTCATTCAAGTAATGATAAACAACATGTTGCAATTCAAAATGGGTTGTTTATAAATGCATTTTTGTGACTTTTAGCATTTAAATGCAGTTCATTCTTCTAAGTAGTTTATGTAGCACCTTTCCAGAACATGTCACAGTGTTCACAGTAAATAAAGCAAAGGTATTCAAACATCAGTAGAACGTCTGGGCAGAAAAAAAATTCAGATGCCATTTAAAAGAGCTCACATGGCTGGCTGGCTGACCTGGTGCCCATGGACAGACTGTTCCGCAGCCTTGGGGCACCAACCGCAAAAGCTCGGTCACTCCAGGATGAGCTGTCCCATTCTGCTGAGCATTTGCCCTGCTCTTTTATCGTATAGAGTTCTAATTTAGCGTTTGAAGAGCTGGTAAACGGAGAACTTTGCCACCAACACAGTTTTACCACCACAAGAGAAGATAAGGAACTTTCTAGATGTCAGGGGGACATTATGACACAAGTGCTACAACTGACCCCATCATTTTATCATTCTCACTTTCCATTAGTCATTAATAACACTTATATAATCTACTATGAGTATTTCTTCCCCCTCACTAGATGGCAACTTACCCTTTTTAGTAGAACACTGTAGCGTCTTATTCCACCTACTTTAGCAAATTGTCTGTGAGCTGGAGGTCGGGTCAGATAAAGCTGAGATGATGACACCTGTAACACTGAAAATGTCATTCTTAGTTTTAACCTCACAGTACCTTTATCTTGCCCACGAAAACCACATTGTAAAGGGTGAAGATAAGGTGCTATATCTGATCAGCAAAGAGCACGTATGGAAATTCGGTTTTGCTGTAGTTTGGCTCTTTTTTTTTTTTTTTTCCCAGCATTGGTCTATTTAGCTTCTTCAGAAAGTTAAGCTTCATTCTTAACAGGTTTTCTGTGAGTTCCGGCTATGAGATGCGTGTGATCATCTCTCCGTGTGGTCCTCTGCAGGACATCTTGGACGGAGGCAACCTTCGCAGTGCATTGCAGGAGCTTCAGCAGATCATCATCACGCCCATCAAGGCCTACAGTCTACCTGTCACTGCCCAGAAGGAGGCCGACCCAAAAGCAACGTCGTCGGAGAAGGGTTCCAAGTCTTCTGAGGACAAGGACGCTGCTGCGGAAGGCTTTCAGTCTAACAATCCTCCAGCCTGTGATGGGGAGTCCACAGTCGCACCCATTTCCGATGGGGACATTGCTGGCCAGTTCACTCGTGTAATGGGAAAAGGTGGGTCTCAGGACATCAATGACTGTGTAGTAATGTCACCACTCTGCTCTTTATTCTCAGTTAAGCTCTCTGCTATAATATTAAAAGGAAAGTTTTTTGTCATAGTCTGAACTATCTAGGTAATTACATGAGAGCTTGGTTGTTTGGTGACCTGGCCTATTTTACAGGGGTAAAATTATCATGGATTCTTTATGCATATACCCATCCTTTTTGTTGCAGAAAGTGTTGATTATCTTCATGCTTTTTTGAGATCACTTTTGTTAATCCCTTAGCCTGATGCTCCTCGCATCATTAGCCTTTGGTGAAAGCTAATTATTATGTAGCTTGTTTACAGTGTTCGACTGCACTTGAGTACGGTAGGCTCTGTGCTGCCGTTCCTGATTTTTCTCTGTGGGGTTCTGTGTAATGGTTCTTCTGCAGTGTGCACCCAGCTTCTAGTATCAAGGCCTGATGAAGAAAACATCAGTTGCTACCTTCAGCTTATTGAGAAGTGTCTGATGCATGAGGTAAGGCTTTCATTTTATTGATAGGTAATAGGCCTACATGATGTGCGATGCCAGTATCGACATGGAATGTTATGCTCATGCAGTTGTCACTTTGGAAGAACCACGATAATGGGCTGGCTTAAGACAGTATGTTATAACATTTATACTCTGTCATTGGAAGCAAAACTTAGCAAGCTCTGTAATTTTACTCATGGTTCCTTTTCAAAATTAGATTAGTTGCTGAGCTCCAAGCGCACACTGTGCCAATCATATTCATTTTCGTCCTTGCTGTTGGACTCACTCATAGACAGAGGTGAACATTTCAAGTCCAGAAAGTAAAAATCCAGACCAGGATTTTGTTTCAACCAACCAGCTGAGTATAAAGAGTCACAGTCATATAGTACTCAAGTGGTTGGTTGAAACAAGAGTACTATATTACTGTGACTCTTTATACTCAGCTGGTTGGTTGAAACAAAATCCTGGTCTGGATTTTTACTTTCTGGGCCTGAAATGTCCCCCTCTGCTCATAGATATTGTTGCGAGTTTGTGAGAAATATAACAAAATGAGTGAGGAGGAGAAAAGTGAACAAGAAACGGTCGCTGAAAGACAATAGCCTTCTGCTGTAAGCAAATATTTTGGATTCCTTAGAATCAATATTGAGCAAAAGCAAGTGATTTGTTGACACTTTTTGTCTGTTGGTACAACTTGTAGCAACACCAACTTATTTGAAACACACTATTGGTACATGTTAAGTTCTGTTTGACTATAGCAGGGGTGGGGAACCTGTTCTATGGAGGTTCAGTGTGGGTAGCCTCTCCATCAGCCAATAATAAAACAGTGGTTCTCAACTCCAATCCTTGAGAGGTCATCCCAAGAACCCGCACCCACACTGGCCCTCCATGGAACAGGTTCCCCACCCCTGGGCTATAGTTTAGCTAAACTTTTTTGGTAAAAGTTTTGCTTTATAAATATCGCAATATATCACAGAAATTTCAAATATCACAATGTGAACTTTTTCCAAAATCATTCAGCCCAACGCCCTCATTCAGCTTTAAACTGTATTTAATATTACTATGTGTAATTAAATATCGGATAATTTATCACTTTTATTCCTCGAAAAAAGGACAAGTTGTTGTTATGTCACCGTTACTGTTAGTTCAGATACTGATTCCTAAAGATGTTCCCTCCCTTCTCTGGAAGGTGGAGCGCGAGAGTGTAATTTTGCCGGGTTTGTCCGTATAAACGGCCCCCTGCCTTCTTGCAGGCCTTCACAGACACCCAGAAGAAGAGGCTGTCGTCATGGAAGCAGCAGGTGTTGAAGCTCCTGCGTTTGTTCCCTAGAAAATCAATGCTGGACATACCTGTGTACCGGCAAAAAGGGTGAGGTGCTGGTTTTGCTGCTTTTTAGTGGCCATGACAGTATAATTTAATATATGAATAAGCCGATAAGCTTGCAAACATCACACCCATGGGGTAATTTGACCTGTCCCTCATTTGTTTTGGTGATTTTTGTCCCAAATGGAATATCATACATGAGTCTGGAACTCTCCTTCCAGGTTATATTTTAAGGAAAATGATTTTTGCAGCAATATGTTACGTACCTAGGTAGTCCAAATTTAAGTATTTTTTTCAGTACTTTTAATGGTCTTCCCTTGGGTCATTGAATCTCCATTGGCACATTTTTACCATGTGAGGAAAGGATACAATTTTTTTTTTTGTTGATTCATTATTCAGTATGTCTTTTTCTTTTTATTTAATTTATAATAGCTTTATAAAATAGTATAAATAAACCTTTTTATGGGTAGGTGTGCCCAAACTTTTGACTGGTACTGTATATTGTAGAGGTGCATGTGCATGTGATTCATTGTACGTATTATGATTCATTGTCTTCCTTTCAGCTGGGCATATGGGTCAAACTCGCTTCCCACAGCAGGCTCTGTGGGAGGAGGGCTGGGGCGTAGGGGTCAGAAGCAGTTTCCGATGCCCCCCCGTGGCGTGACCCCCGGCAGGTTGGGGCTCTTAAACCCTGGCAGCATCGGGACTGCATCACCGCGTCACACTCTGACCAGCCCTGCGTTGGCTGGTCAAGGCCGGCAGGTTCGTTCCGCGGCAGACAAGCCGATGTGTTTAATGCGTGTTAGTCATGAAGAGTGACGAGTGCTCAGACAGAACACTGTTAGCGTAATTCCTTTTTCCGTAAAATGTTTCCATAAAATACCTGCGACATATAATCCCAACAGCAGTGTTAGGTACATATTCTTTACTGCAGTGTTTCCCAACCCAGTCCTCGGGGAACCCCGTGCAGTCCACGTTTTTGCTTCCTCCCAGCTCCCAGCCAATCAGGAACACCGAATACCTGGTACAGGTACACTGAGAGCTGAAAGGAAGCAAAAATGTGGACGTCCGGGGTTCCCCATGGACTGGGTTGGGAAACACTGCTTTACTGCATTGTTCAATCCTGCTTTAAAATGTTTTTTTTTCCCCTTACAATCTTAATATCAGCCTAATGTAGTGGCTGTAGTATGTACTGTAATACATTAGCAAATCTCCGTTAAAGAATTATGCGTTTACATGTCGTTCTTGCAGAATCTATGGTTTTCCAACCCTAGTGGCAGCAACAGTATGCCAAGTCAGAGTCGCAGTTCTGTGCAGAGGACCTACTCACTGCCTGTCCACACTTCACCACAGACCATGCTCCTGTACCAACAGTCTGGTGAGTCAGCATCTAGAATAGTGTCTCCCAATCGGGTCCTCGGGGACCCACGGACAGTCCATGGTTTTCTCCCGCCCAGCTCCAAATGTGGACTGTCTGGTAGCGAGCACGGAGGGAGCAAAACCATGGACTGACCGCGGGTCCCCGAGGACCCGATTGGGAGACACTGATCTAGAAAGCAAGTGTCTGGTGTGACCTGGCGGCTCCTGCTGTGGCTGACCGACCCCGCCTCCCTTCCCTGTGTGCAGAATGCCAAGTTGCAGGGACTGACCTAGAGATCAACCCCACTTTGGAGTCCCTGTGCCTCAGTATGACAGAGCATGCCTTGGGGGGTAAGTTACTGCTACTGAAGCGTAATTTATACTCCTACACTACCTAAGAACTACATCTGCATATTAAGTGACATATGATTAATTTGTATATAATGGCATATTTATTTACAGTCGTGTACCTGCATATGTACAATGTATATGACAATGGTCAAACAATGGACCGCATGTATAGCAGTGGTCCCATGAGATTATAATGGAGCCTAGTAATGTAGTGCAATGCATTACTCACGTGTTTGTGGTGATGCTGGTGTGAACAAACCTATTGCGCTGTCAGTTGTATAAAAGTTCAGCACATACAATTATGTACATTACATAATACTTGATAATGATACATAAACTAGTAACAGTTATTTATTATTTATGGTAATGTACTTTTTATTGTTATTTTGGCTATACTATATAGCCTAGGTGTATAGTACCTGTCATGTTCCTACAATGACAAAATCGCCCAGTAGAGTATGGCTGCAGATCCACTGAGAGGCGCATCCACTGACAGGCAGGAAATGACATCACAGATCCACTGAGAGGCGCATCCACTGACGGGCAGGAAATGACATCACAGATCCACTGAGGCACATCCACTGACAGGCAGGAAATGACATCACAGATCCACTGAGAGGCACAGCCATAGACATGTTCGACGATACATTCATTGACAGGCGGGAAGTCCACTGTTGGTCCGGAAATGTCACAGATCCACTCTAAAGCACACAATACTGCTTTATTTAAATGCACAACAAAGCAGTATAAGAAACAGAATAAAAGAATGAGGAAAACTATTTGTATTACGCAAACCTGGCATGAAGTTTAAGACCCATCCCATCAACACAATCAGAGAGGAAGGTTTCCATGTCCTCCCTATTATGAAAAATAAACACAAATGGGTCATTTCTATTGCCACTTTGACCCTCCAGGACCTCCCTGAGTGCTTCCTGTTGATCCTCAGCCTCCATCTGGAGAACAGCAGGTTCTGTCACCTTTCCATGGAAGAGGGAGTGATTCTTGCGAATCCAGCACACAGCACTGCAGAGGTCCCTCATGATGCGCGACTCCTATGCGACGTCGGAAGCGAATATCAGGGATCGAATAAGTTAATCAGGTGCAGCTGGTAGTCAACAGGAAAACCACCTGAGAAAAATGAGGGACGGACACACACCCCACACACACCACTATTACACTTTGTAGAGCAGTCAGTCACAGCTTGCCCACCAGGTCTGAGAACAGCAGGAGTGCTCACCGAAGTTCGCTTTCAGCAGGTGTGAAGCTTCCTCAGTCCAAAAGGCAAACCTCTGTCCGTGTCTGAGTAGTACACATCACTTGCATTGAGATATTGAAACATTAAGTTTCAATATCTCAATGGTGTCATTAATACCCGTATATGCAAAACCTCTCCATTAGCTGAATGCACTACCACCGACCTGTGCATCTGTTGGTCAAAATCAAAAACAAAACACTGTGAAAATGATTGTGTATGCATTTATGGGCTTTTGAAGGAGGGAGATTATTTGAATACAATTCAGCAACACAGCGATTTGAGTCAGGCTAACTTATATTTACTGTATATATGCATTTGAGTGGCATGAAAACGCCATTCAACAGATCCGCACATGAAAATAAGTTAAACTATTAACTGAAAGTAGTAGTAACCTAAGCACGAACTGTGTTTTATAGCAGCCAAACAATAGCGAACGAAAAACCATTCCAACACTTCTAAACATAACAAACAAATGGTAAATGGACTGCATTTATATAGCACTTTTTTTTACTACTCTTACGAGTACCAAAGCGCTTTACAATCTATGCCTCACATTCACCCATTCACACCACGCATTCACATACCATTCCACTTCTAAACATAGCAAAGTTTCCATCCTTACTGAAGAACTAATAACTGAACATATTTAAACAATTAAAACTGTACTTACCATTCTACTTTCCTTCGCCAATGTCATGGTCGTCACCACAGAAACAGCAATTAAACAATTGACTTTCTGCAATTCCTCGTATTGTTTTGGAGTCCACCAAACTTTATGCCCGCTTCGGTGGAACTACAGTGATGTCATTTCCGGGCTCACAGTGGACTTCCTGCCTGTCAGTGGATGTGACTCTCAGTGGATGTCTGCAGCCAGACCCTTCTCAAATTGCCTGACTACGCATTTCTGAAAACCATATCCCCACCGTTTTAGTGACTCGTGACTGTATAACTGCAAATTTAAGAATGAATATAGCTGCTATACCTATCAGTAAATATTTGATTTTGCCAAGGAAAATTGTTAGCTTGATTAAAATATAGTTTACCATTTTGTGCTCTGCGTACAAATAACTCATTTGTTCATAAATGAGGTAACATGACTGCAGTCATAGTTTTTATTGACTTGTGTAAGGATGATTTGAGATGCATATTTGTCCCTTTTTTCTCTTTCACAGATGGCATGGACCGAACATCGACAATATGAAAATAGAAAATACACTTTATAATGAAGTCCTGGTTCTTTGAACCTAGGCTAAAAGTTGACGTTAAAAAAAAAAAAAAAAAAAAATGAAACGAAATGGTCACTACAAAAAGACACAAACTGTGTATATGTGCTAATATTTTTGTACTTTAATATACTTAACTGAGGTTTATTACAAATACAGATTACTATGTTATTAAGCAGGAGAGAGAGATGCAAGGTTTTTAATGCTAAGAGGGCTAGTTTTCCAAACCGCTCAAAAAAAAAAAAAAAAACAGGGACAGATGGCAGGTCTGTAGTGTGTGTGCTGTTATTGTCCAGCTGCTGTAACCGGAACTAAGAGCTGACTGGGGGGGGGTCGGTGCTCTCCCAGCAGGCACTACCCTTTGCTTCTTCCCAGTTCATCTCAGCTTCAGTCCAAACACAGGGCAATTCATTAGCCTTGCAAAAAGGCAGTTGTTAGACACACAGCCATGGTGCAGTCTAGAAATTTCCAGATGGCAAGATCTTCGCTGATGCAGCCCCCTGTTAACTCGGTACCTGGCAGTTGACTAAATTGTTAATAAAAACTAATATGCAGACAATTTGCTTTAATTAACCTTTCGATAAGAACTGTTAAAATGTAGAAACACAGAGGAGAGGGATTTGGATGTTGGTAACCTTTGAAATGCCAGGATGGTGACATGCACTTTTATTTTAAAGAAGCTAAATAAATACTAATGATACTGTCTGACCCCATCTCTTTTGCAGTTAATGACTGAAAAGCAACTGTGTTATTCTGGTCAGGACTGTATCAGTTATTGCCTGAGCACCTATTTCGCAAACATGGTTGGTGTTAACATTTAAATCTAATTCTTTGTATTTGCATCATCTTTGTAGCCTATGGCTTATGAGTTTTACCCCAAGAACACAACTGAATCTGGAAAAAGGCAAGTCATCTAAGCAACAAGTAATGGCACTTAATTACTACTTTTTTTTAAATCATCCGTATAGCAATTAAGGAAGATTACACTATATTATTCTCAATTCGTATAGTAAATATGTATTAACCTGTTCTTTAATGGTTGATATATTTACATATAATGCATCAGAAACAGCCCAGTCTACTGGTGTTGAGGTGGTTTGGCATGTCCATTATGTGTGTTACACCATTCTAATGAGTCTTTGTCATATGAAGCTTCCTTCCTTGGAAACTGTGTAGGTTGTTCTGGGGATGACAGGTCATTTCTTGAGCAAATTGTGTGAATACTATTATCTGTGTCATTGTAGACTGCGTTTTTTTTTTTGTCCCCCCCCCCCCCCCCCGACTGCAACAGATGATAAAGAGGGTCGTGCTAATTCAGTGCATTGATTGCTTCTGTGTTATACTGATCTGCAATGTGACCCAAGGCCCGGCAGCATAAGCAAAACTGATTCACTCCCCAAGTGCAGAAATCCCATTGAAATGCTTAATTTACATTAAGCTCTTAAAATATGCAAATGTAAAAAAAATTGTGCAATTGACTGTCACAAAAGAGAATCTCAGTGACTGGCCAATGCAGAGTAATTCTAGCTTTTGCTGTCTGTGCTGCCTTATGTGAAATATATAAAAAAGGCATGTTTTCTTCCTTTTAGGGGCCTATTCAGCAAAAGCGGTGCAAAATTTTTGTCCTTTTTAAACTTGAATTGGTACCATAAAGAACACTGTGTAAAGAAACCTGTTTGTTTTTCATATATCACAGGCTTAAATGTATTACCAACCACTTATGCTAAAGTGAATATTGATTGTGAAAAAAATATAACATGATCAATCTGTAGTTGGCCCACCTGTTTTTGATTAATGTCACACACCTTAAGTATTATACCATGTAATTTCTGCCACCAGAGGGGTTTATCATGTAGGACTATCGTTGTGGTTCCATACATCCATCTTCCAGCGACTTGTTCTGGACAGACTTGTGGATCTTTGTGGGTCCTTGACTGCCGTATGATGAAACGGCAGGACCAACTCATTTCTCTAACATTTCTGTGCCAAACCAAAGGCAACTTACAGGCTTGAATTGAACCAAGGTGCAAACAAAATTACAAATTTATAGTGTTGTAGATGTGGGACCATACCTGTGTTGTAGACCATCTTGCTACATCCTCTTGTTCATCTTTGTTTAAAATGACTCTGCATTTAGGATTGAGTTTCCAGGTACGCTGGCTGGCATGGTGACTCTGGGTAGCACGTTCTGTCTCACACCGCCTGGGATGGAAGCCCAAATCTCTCCTAAGTCTGTGTTTGTTCTCCCCATTTCACCACATTTCCTCTTGGTACTTTGGATTTCCTCCTGCTTTTCAAAGACATGCAGTTGGGCGAATTGGCCCCTACCGGTACTGTGTGATTGTGTGGACCGGTCTCCCATCCTGGGTGTCCCCAGCTCTTGTGCACTGTGATTTCTTAAATTGGCCCCGGGCCCCAGTTTAATCACCCTATTCAAGCTTTGTTCCAAAGTCAACATCTGACATGCAGTGTATGATTTTGATTATGCTGCTATTCTGGTAATGGTCAGTTTTGCTGCTCATTTAATAGACTGATTAAGTGTAGTGTGATTTTTATTTTTTATTTTTTTTTTTTACTTCTGTGCAATATTGAGTGCTCATATTAAACCATGTCCGACATTTTTTCCCACTACCAGCATGAATTAAAAACGAACATCATTGAAGGCGGGAGGCTTAGGCTCTGAGGCAGTACTGGCTTATATTTTTGCATTATAAGTGAGTTGGCTGGCATCATACTTTGGAATCTGAAGACTTTTACTTGAGCACTAGCTAAATATATGGAGATTTTCAAAGTGGGCACTTGAACATCACTCCTACAAGGGCTGGTGACAGCTTACGGCAGCGGTGGCCAATCTTATCCGCAAAGGGCCGGTGTGTATGCAGGTTTTTGGGATAACCTGTAGGTCAGCTGATCAAACCCAGGTGTGAGAACTCTTCAGACAATCAGTCCTCTAATTAGTTATCTAATTAAGGAGCTGCAGCGGCTGGCTTACGGTCAGAGATATGGTTAATGGCTTACTTTAATTGTAATCATTGGTCAGTTGATTATATAAATTAGGAGATGGCATATTTGTTCAATTTTGATGGTGAGGACTGAACAAATATTGATCCATTTCTTAGTTTCTATAAAGCATTTATCCATATCGAACCATACCACACAAAGTACAGTCCCTCCTCCAGGTTTGCTAATTTGACACTCTCTTGACGTTCACGGTTTTGCTTATTTTCAAGTTGACTATGAACAGTTGAATTGAAATATTTTGGGGGCTTGCGTAAAGATTGCAAAAACTTGTAGACGATACCTTATAGGAACAATACTGAAAATGATCTGGATCACATAAAATCATACATAAATATTAATGTTATATAATATTTGGTAGTCTAAGTACATGCTATATCTTAAAAGGTCTGAGTTTGACCTGTAGGATCTATGCATCTTGGCTTGGGTGTGCTGTGCATCATTTTCTCAGCAAGCAGCCTCACGCACGTGCCAGTCGTCTTTGTGACTGTGGAATCTTGTGAGGTACAGCAATAAAAAAAATAAAATATTTCACTAGTTGTTCATACAGATGCAATTGTCTAATTGCCATAATGTCTAAAAATTGCAATATTGTTATTTAAAGAAATTAGTTTAACAATACTAGAGCTACTTAAATGCCACACTTTTAACTGTAGTGTGCAAAAGACTTGCTTAACACCAGATAATTTTATGAATGAAATATCGTATTGAGGGACAGTGCATAATTAACCATAATGGTCTACAGGAAGCCCTTCCAAACTGGCATATTGGTGGCGAGGGGTCACTAGTAACATCCGCTAGGCATGTTAGTGAACATCCATCTTGTAACTGCTGACCCTGGCTGCGGTTGTGGGAGCCTGGAGCCCATTACAGGGGGCGTAGGGCACCAGGCTAACATTAAAATCACTGTAAACGGGCTTCAGCAGAAAGACGGTCGCTCTTCTGCGATTTGGTGCTACATTTTACATTCTGAAACGTATTAGCCCTTTGGTTTCTTTAAGCAAATAGTGTTTTGTTTTTAATGGTGTGCATTCTCTCTCGTTTCGCACATTTGAATCAGTGAAATTAACTTATTACCTGTTCAAGAAGATGTTGAATTAACAGTTCATAGAGAAATGTTAAGAATGTTTATTAAATAATACTGCAGGTTTTGATAAATGTATAGTGGAGTAATATTGTCATACAATCCTTTGTCAACCACAGAACACTAATATTTTATATTCTGTATAAACCCTCACTCATATAAGCACACTTTTCTTAAAAGTCCATTCCCCTTAGACACTCTTGTTTCCATAAGTGTTTGAAGTACACTGAATTCAACAGTTTTGCACTGGTTACCAATACTGAGTAATTGGGATTAAAATATTTTTTTAAACATTTAAATGGATTAACCATCTCCCATATGCTAATCCAGTAGAGGCGCATTAGAGTGCATGCCTCATCACAGGCCGTAAAGGGTATTTTGAATGGTATATTTTAATTATATCCATGTCATAGCTGTAAGTTTCTTACCGTCACCTTACTTGTTCCGGATAAGTTCAATCGAGCGTAAAATGATTAATGAATAGCAGAAGTAAATATCACCATAAATTTAATGAAATTGTAGAGGAATTTGAGTGGTTGGTGACATATTTGGACAATGAATAGTGATCTTGTTTTGCCAACCATAGAAGTATACAAGCATCCATTTTCCTGTTGGTCCTGATGCAGATGAATCCAAAGCCTGGTATTGTTCTGGGAAGGAGAATGTAGGGCTAGCTCTACCTATAAGTAGACCTGACATGTAAATGCAGTTGTCTGTTTTTGTACTGTCTAAGGGTGCTGCTTGCTTAGTCCTAGCTGTTTTATGTATTTTTATGTTTACAAAAATAGTGTAGGAAGACCAAACCCTTCATGAGAATGTAGCTGTGACCTGCCTGCCTGTGTTGGGCATGTTTGCTTTCTTGGAGAACTCGGACTGCCGCCTCCTCGCTGCTCTTATTGGTGTCACATATTGACTTGCTCCACTTTTATCCACAAATGGGCATCCGAGTTCTGCTTTTAAAATCTAATAAATGCACTTCAGGTTAATTAAAATGAATTTTTAATCAAATAGTTCTTCATCTGAACACTTCATAACCTCCACAAGGAATATTCAGACAGTAAGCTACAAGTTTTCATTGTTTTGAGTTGAGTTAGGGCGTATGTGTAGTATTAAACTTCTGCTGAAGGTAAGGATAAATCGGTGCATTTTTTGGTAATACATACATACAAAGCCACATAGGCAGTAGGATTAGTATATTTTCTGGCATAAGTTTTGTTTTGTAGAATAATGTTCAATATTTACGCTCAATAGTATGTAGTACAAACTCATCTTAAGCTAATTGCCAGCTTTCGTAGGTGTGTTTGAACAGACAAACTGTGTTGGATTCTGGCCTCCAGGAGTGGAACTGGGGAACCCTGCGATAAAGTATGGCGTTCAACAAGGCAGGTAACAAATTGCTTTGGCAAATATGTTTTAATTGTGTGACATACGTAGAGGTTAGTGACTTTCCACTTGGCACCATCATGGGACGTCAGGCTGTTCGCCACATCTCTGCCTTGCTAGCCCTGCCTTGGTCACCCAGGTTAAGTAATTGTGAAGGATAAATCGTCTGGGGGCAAGTTCATTTGCTGAAGTGGTAAGACATAAGCTCGCGTATCCTTGATTTCAGGAATGAGTTTTTGACAATGAGTGCTCATATTTGTCAAGCTGGTGTCGTCAAACTTCTGGCTGTGTGTTTGTGTGTCTACACTACATGGACAAAAGTATTGGGACACGCCTCCTAATCACAGATAGGGGTTGCTGAGCGCTGAGGCACATAAGGCTTAAGGCACCAGTGCTCTGTTGACTGAATAACTGCAGAGTTCCAAGCTTCCTCTGGCTTTAACCGCAGCATAAAAATTGTGCTCCGGCAGCTTCATGGAATGGGCTTCCGTGGCCGAGCAGCTGCATTCAAGCGTCACATCACCAAGCGCAATGCCGAGCTTCAGATGGAGTGGTGTAAAGCACACTGCCACTGGAGTCTGTGGAGCAGTGGAAATATGTTCTGTGCCAGGAGAACATTACCTGGCTACATTGTGCCAACTGTAAAGTTTGGTGGAGGAGGGATAATGCTATGGGGTTGTTTTTCAGGGGTTGGGCTGAGCCCCTTAGTTCCAGTGAAGGGAGATCAGTGTTTCAGCTTACCTGGACATTTTGCACAATTCTATGCTTCCAACATTGTGGGAACAGTTTGGGGAAGGCCCTTTGCTGTTCCAGCATGACTGTGCCCCAGTGCTCAAAGCAGGGTCCATAAAGACATGGTTGGGAGAGTTTGGTGTGGAAGAACTTGACTGGCCCACACAGAGCCCTGACCTCAACCCCATCAAACACATTTGGAATGATCCAGAATGGCGATTATGAGCCAGGTCTTCACATCCAACATCAGTGCCTGACCTCATCAATGCTCTTCTGGATGAATGGGCAAAAATTCCTACAGACACACTCCAAAATCCTGTGGAAAGCCTTCCCAGAAGAGTGGCAGCTGTTATAGCTGCAAAGGGAGGACCAACTCCATACTGATGCCTATGGATTTAGAATGGGATGTCATGAACATTCCTGGGGGTGTAATGGCCAGGTGTCCCAATACTTTTGTCCATTGTGTGTGTGTGTGTGTGTGTGTGTGTGTGTTAAATTTCTAGATATGGACCTAAGAGCAAACGTGGACTATCTGGGGGTCCCTGAGGACCAGGTTGGAAAACACTGGATTAGAGGATACATTTATCCAGTGTAGGGTCTTTGCCAGCCCAGAGCTGAGCACAAATATATGCAATTGACAATTCAGACAATGGTCAAGAGCCAATTTTAGCTGCAAAAAGCTTAAATGTAACAATATAATTGGATTTCTGGTAGCATAAGTCATGATATTGTGTTTCTTTTGTATATATCTCATTCTACACTGCATGCTACCACGTGTTAATTGCTGAAAAGTTCAGTAAAGCAAAAGTGTAATTTGAATATTTCCTTTGTTTTAATGCTTCCCAAAATAAGAGGGCAAATAAAATGAAATCTAAAATATATAGAATGTGTGAACTATACTCGTTTTATGGCTTGGATTTTATGAATGTATGGAACATAGTGAAATAGCGAACATTAATTATGGTGTTATACTGCATTGATTTAGCCAAAATACTTAAACATATATGATACGCACATGCACAACACAAGCAGTTCAGAGGTGTTAGAATAACCGCACGTCTGGACTGTAGGCGGAAGCTACGGTGTCACGGGGAGAACATGCAAATTACCTACGCCGGGCACGCGCGCGTGCACGCGCAGGGCTGAGAGGCTGGATTTGAAGTCCCAACCCTGGAAGTAGGAAGAAACAGTCCTGACAAAGAGGTTAGTTAGTTCGCAGACTTCATTTTGGACACAATATATATATATATTTTTTCCTTGTCATTGAAATGCTTATTCAAATGACCAAGATTATTGTATGACAACCATTCTGTTTAAACACACAACATGAATATAGCGCATCAAATAGAGTTGCATACCTATAGCGCTGTTTATTTAGTTTTCCATCGAATATATATATATATATATATATATATATATATATATATATGATAGTTTTGTAATTTGTACAGGGGTGTAGCACCTCTTTTAACACGGATTTCAGGAGAAGGTCGCATGATTCTTTTTACCACGTTAGTGTAGTTTGGCCCATCGTACAACAGAGGGCAAACTACTTATGGTCAATCAGCCTTACAGCCGTACGACTTACTGTCTCTTTAAAACGATATTTGTCCTGTTGTCATAAATTGTGTTTCAAGCCTAAAACAAAAGGTAAGCTAATGTTTTTATTTCGATAAAATTATTTAAACGAGACTCTTGCGTAAGTAGAAGGAAACAAAGTATCGGAAAAGCTTTAAATGCTACAAGAGAGCAACCTTGTCGTTATCGGCTAGCGAAGTTAACTCGTTCGCTACATATGAAACCCAACATTCATCAGACGCGGGTTGGAGGCGTTTCCATAGCATTTGTTCGGTTTTTAGATACAACAGGGATTTCACATCTTAGCTCCAAAGACAAGAATACTTTAAACTTTATGCTCTTGAAAATTATATAATACGATTTTTTCACTAGTTAACCGACGTATGGCTGCAGTGTTGCGTCAGTGAGGGCTTACGGCGCATCGCTGATCTCCCAGCCTTCCTGGGTAGTTTCTTTGTTGATTCAGCTACCGTGTTTTACAAGGGGAAATGGATGTGTGTTACTTACACCCCGATTTGATATAATGGTACAGGTATTATCAAAATAGTATTTTTGTGGCAACAATATGTAATTATTCTGCCTATTACATTAGTTGTCGTTATTTTTGCTGTTTCATTTATTGGAATATGGAAAACGGTTATTTTTGTCTCAAGGAAATGAAAATGTGATGAATATTTCTAGAGAGCAAGCCTGCTTACAGACTTTGTTCAGATATTTTACCTTCAACTTATTTCAATCTAGTTACGTACTAGTAAGCATTCAGACAATCTTTGAGTGAGCAAGTATATGGAAAAGGAAATCTTCAGTATACTTTAATGATTAGTTGGTCAGATCTTAACTTGACATGTTTGGTATGCAAATTTACGATTTAAATGCTTATTTCTATTGTGTTTGTTATTGGTATTAAGTCTTGAAGCTAAATTATGGGTGAATATAGGGTATGTTGCTTGAGCCCCTTACAGTTGGATCCTGATTTTTTTTTGTGGTAACTTTATTAATCCGAGGTTAAAAACTAAACTCTGTTTTGTTCTTTCCCGACACAAAGTAGGTGATCATGTCCCAGTCACCTAAAGAAGATGCTGAGAAAGAAAAGGAGAGAGGTGCTCGTCCCAAGGTTAGACAAAGCCGTTCGGTGGATAGACGAGAGGTTGGCTGGAGGAACAAAAGTGTAAGGGTTAAGAAAAAGGAGCGAAGCGTCAACAGTGAAACTCAGGTGCGACCTGCCAGTGATGGCTTTGAATATGGGCAGCTGATGAGCGATAGTCAGTGCTGGAACACAGAGTCTACCAACCCTTTTGGAGAACCAAGATGGCAAGACCCAGAAACTGGCAAGCTGCACCTTGGAAAAAATTGGGGTGGGAGTGAAGCAGCACGTAGTGCTGCAGAAGGCAAGCCAGCTGGAGGGAGTCGCTCCCTCCGACAGAAGATCCAGGATGCAGTGGGGCAATGTTTCCCTATTAAAACTTACACAACCTCTTTACCTCAGGGCCCCCCTACTTCCTCCTGCTCATCCTCATCTATCTCTTCAAATCGTAAAATTCACCTCAGCGAGCTCATGCTGGACAGCTGCCCTTTCCCTGCAGACTCGGAGTTAGCACAGAAGTGGTACCTGATCAAGCAGCACACTGCTCCCATCACCCAACCAACTTTTCTGGACACTCTGGGTGGGGCAACAGCTGGCAGCTCAGTCCAGGCTTCCTTGGTGGAAGATGAGGACGATCGATTACGTGAACGGCGCCGGATAAGCATTGAACAAGGTGTGGAACCCCCGCCCAATGCCCAGATTCATACCTTTGAAGTAACTGCACAAATAAACCCATTGTACAAGTTGGGGCCCAAGTTGGCACATGGTATGAATGAGCTTGCAGGAGATGATCGTGCCACCCTTCAACAACAACAACAACAACAACAACAGCAGCAGCAACAACAACAACAACAACAACAACGGCTCCTTCTACAGCAGCAACCACAAAATCCGCTTCTTTTGCAGAACTGCCTAGATACAGCTGATAAAGTTATTGTGTCCCCTGTAACCTCATCATCTCATTTTGCTGCCGGTGATTTAGAGGTAACAACTGTAACTGCAGACAGAGCTATGATCCAAGAATTTGAGCACTCTAAATCTAAGGACTGCTATCGGGTTCATACACAAATTGATTATATACATTGCCTGGTTCCAGATCTCCTGCAAATCACTAATCTCCCCTGCTACTGGGGTGTGATGGATCGCTATGAGGCAGAGATCTTGCTTGAAGGCAAGCCTGAAGGCACTTTCCTGCTTCGTGACTCTGCTCAGGAGGATTATCTGTTCTCTGTCAGCTTTCGCCGTTATGGCCGTTCGCTACATGCCCGCATTGAGCAGTGGAACCACAACTTTAGTTTTGATGTCCATGACCCTAGTGTTTTCCACGCTTCCACTGTCACAGGACTGCTTGAACACTACAAGGACCCCAACTCTTGCATGTTTTTTGAACCTCTGTTGTCCAACCCTATCAACCGCACTCAGCCTTTCAGTCTGCAGCACATCTGCCGGGCTGTCATCAGCAGCCACACCACTTATGATGGTATTGATGTATTGCCTCTCCCCAGTGCCCTTAAGGAGCACCTGAAGGAGTATCACTACAAGCAGAAAGTACGCGTCCGACGGCTAGACACATGGTGGGAGTAACGTCCTCGACAACATTCCTCTTTTTTGTTGGGTTAACCCTTCATCACTTCTTCCTTGTCCCTCTTGGCATCCTCAGGTGTATCTCTAAGAGGATGGACATCAAGAATTGGTTCTCACTTTTAATGCTTGGTGGTAGATTTCAGTAAAACCCTTTGATAAAATAACTTTGGTTCAATAAAATGTCTAACATTTATCCAGTTACCCTAATTGTCTGCAATGCGGGGAGAACATAGAGATCCCACCAAGAGTGGAGGTGCAATTTGAACCCCTGTTGCTTGAGATGTGAGTCAGCAGTGCTGGCCATATTACCACCCTCATTAAGAAGCATTTTGTTCAGAGAATTTAGGTAGCAGAACAAAACTTAATATGACATACTTTTTCCCATATGTAGGGAATCAGCTGATCTTTGGTGCAAGGTACAGCAGCACACTGATTTAGTTGGGTTGCAGAGACCCACAAGTTGTTCTTCTGGTACCTGATGTTTTCTTTAGCAGTGCTTCCATGTTTTTTTTTAGTTAAAATTTCCTTAATTTTCACTGTGAAATGAAAAATCAAGTGCAAAGCAGACTGCATCTTCAGCTCAGTGTGATACTGTTTTTTTTTTAACCGGTAATTCATCATTTTTGAATAAGGTAATCATTAATTGTTTTTCCTATAAAGTGCAACTTGTTGGTACTAGGCTGCCCTGAGTCTCTGGAGTTTCTACAATAATCAGGGTTTACTGTATGTCAATTGTATTGCCATTCAATAAGAGTTGTTATACCTTTCAGAATACAGTTAAAGAAAAATTCCATAATACCTTCCCATATGAAATCCATGTTCCAGTAGACTGAACCCCAAACCTTTATTTCCCACTGAAATACTAATATTATGATAATTCTATTATGATGTTATGCAACTGTATATTATGGTAGAACGTATGTGTAATTATTTTTCTTTAAAAACATTTTTGCCTTAAGATGAAAGGTTTTAATGGGTTATGTGGAGGGTGGTCATTTAACTCCTTTTAAAATATGTTACAGCTCGGTGCCTTTTTGCCAATACAGATTACGATGGGAGCAATCTTTCTTGCAAGTCTTAGATTGAAACATTCATTTTGGATGATTGTATTAATGAAAGTACTATTAATCAAAATACTAGTCATCGCCATCTGCAATAGTTCCTTTTTACTGTACATTTTATATGTATGTCTGTACAGTAAAAGCTGATTAAATGCAAAGATACTAATACTGGATGGATGCTAGCACAAACACATGTGACCATTTCTTTTTGTATCTTGTCTGTCGTATCTGTATCAGTTTATTTTGAAAATGGTATTTACTTTCTAGATCTCCAAATAATTTTAGTTCATTACATGCAGTGTTTCCAGTGTGTGTGTGTGTGTGTGTGTGTGTGTGTGTGTGTGTGTGTGTGTGTGTGTGTGTGTGTGTGTGTGTGTGTGTGTGTGTGTGTATAGTATATAATATAGTAAAAATGAAAAACCTTTCATTTTCTTGTGCTTTTCTGAAAATATTTCAGAATATTTGAAAAGTCAGAATCTTGTTGAGTTGAACCTCATAGAATATTTACATGTTTACAGATATAAAATGAACATGCTGCCCAACCCATTTACTATATGATTTTATATTTGTGTTTATAAATCCAGTTGTAGATGTTGCTTTTGGTTTACAAAAGACTTAAATTGCATGTACAGATGCAAGATGGGCGTAGGGGAATCTCAGATTCTTGCATCTTTTGCATACTTCATGATCATTATTCAGTAAGGAATAATAGAACTAAATGAAAACTTAATCTGCCCATCTTTCATTGCATGTTCTCTTTCCAGTGCCAGACTTGCCAGCAAACATTCTACCGATTAAATGGCAATATGTAGAATTGACTGAATTTGTGCCATGCATTTAATGGATCTAGGGTTCTCAATCCGGTCCTCAGAGAACCCCAGCGGTCCATGTTTTTGCTCCCTCCCGGCTCCCTGCTAGACAGTCTGGGAGCTGAGAGAGAGCAAAAACATGGACTGTCTGGGTGCCCTCGAGCACCAGGTTGGGAAACACTGATCTAGTGCATTTTGTTGTAAGATAGCAACTGCAGTTAGCTGCCAATTAGTTAATCATTCTTGAAAGCGTTTATTCATCTGTGCATGTCGTGAAGCCTTTACAGCTTACTTTTCTGTAGCTTCCAGACATCAGAGAACTGTAATCCGTTTCTGAAAGACTTCCAGAACGACTGTGCTGTGAATAAATAATGAATGCGGCGAGTGCATAAAACCATTAATTAGCGTTTTCTTCTTCACCAATTACTGTTCTTCCAGCTCAGTAAATATGAAATGTGGTCTGTGATTAGTTGGTCAAGTGACATTTTGAAAATTATTCTACTTAAGAGGGTAAATGGAAATCTTTTTTTTTTGTCAACAAGCTATTTAGCTTAGTTGTGGAAACTAATTGTTGTTTAATTAAGAGCCTTGAAACCTGCTAACTCCTAAATTAAGGAGCCTAAAATGGGACAGAAATCTAATATCCAATGGTCAGACCAGACAGATTATAAATTCTGTATTCATACCACTATCTTGAAATATTCCACAGTTGCCTAATTGTTTAAAATAAATTACTACATGAATTTTTATGAACGACTTAAAAAATTGTCACATTACTGGTATTAAATAATGAGAGCACTATTCCATTATCTGTACATGAATTGGTGTCATTATAATGGCCAGGCAGTGTAGCTAGTTACAAGAGAAGTTCATACTGAGTATTTAAATTCAGTGCTTGAGTTTGTTTAAAGGAGCAGCATGGTGGTGCAGTGGTTAGCACTGTTGCCTCACACCTCTGGGACCTGGGTTCGAGTCTCCGCCTGGGTCACGTGTGTGGAGTTTGCATGGTGTCGTCGTGGGGTTTCCTCCGGCTGCTCCGGTTTCCCCCCCACAGTCCAAAGACATGCTGAGGCTAATTGGCATAACTAAATTGCCCATAGGTGTGCATGCGTGAGTGAATGGTGTGTGATGGGCTGAATCACTGAAATGTTTTTAAATACTCTTTCACGTTATATTTGATTATGATGGTTCAAATGATTTTATGTTGAATTATTGTTACAATGGTGACGGGTGAAAACTCAGAATGCCTTTATGTGGTGCCTTTTTGTGCTACTCTTTTGATGCTACCCATATAGACAATGGTATATTGGAATAAATGTCAGATTGCGCATGGTCCTACTATTCCACTGTTGAGAATTTTTCATTAATTTTAGCTGTTTTCATGTTTATTTCTGTTAGATCGCATTTGCAGCAAAGCCATCTACCACACACAATATTCACAATTCTGTATGGTGCCCAGCGTTGCCATAGTATGATGTGTAGGCACAGAGCTTGTGTTAATATTTGAAATGAACTCCCTTGTCCATAAAAATGCCTATATGTAGAAAAGTCAACTCCCCAGCCGCATGCGTAACAGAGCAATGATTACACAAATGTATGAGACGGTAAGTATTAGCACGTAGGTTTTTCTTACAGATTAAGTTCACAAAAAAAATTCTGAAGTGGACCTTTTCCATTAAATAACATTTTGGAATGCACCCCACTGAGAAACTCTTTCCCCCAGTCCTTTCTATAACTACAAAACAAAAACTAACAGGAAAGGAAGCAAGTGAAAAAATATGAAGTGACAGATGCTATGTTTTCGACTTGTAATTTGGGTCATCAAGTGAGCTTGGTAAGTAATGTTTTTGCATAAGAAGTAAATAAATCATGAATGAAGGATGCTGTATAGTGCTGTATAATGTAATGTGGTGGCTTAACGGTTAGGGAAGTGCACTTGTAATCTAAATATTGTAGGTTCGAATCCCTGACCAGCAAGACACCACTGAAGTACCCTGAGCAAGGTACCACCCCCAAGCACTACTCCCCGGGCGCTGAATTAGCTGCCCCCTGCTATGTCACATTGTGACATATGGATTAAATGCAGAGGACACATTTCATTGTTGTGCTGTGGTGTGTCAACAATGACAACTGATCACTAAATTCTATCGAAATTTATATATTGCAAAATCTGTACATTATCACACCTATTTAAGGTATATAACTACAACAATCATTTTATATATTTTCTACATCTACTGAATGAATTCTGATTTGGGCTATTTATGCTGTTTATGTTAAAGTGGAGAGCAGGCAAAGTGTTACATTGCCTACAGCAGCATTTTTCCATGGCGGTGCACAGGTAATGCATATTAATGTAATGCTGAGAAAGCGAGTGGATCACACTTCCATAAAGATGCCTGGGACACTCCTGAAAATGGCAGAAAAAAACGTAATGAAGATATGTTTAGGATAAAATACAATTGACGTTATGTTTATTCATGGAATCTAAATAAATCTAAAATCTTTTGAGAGTTATATATTAGACATTGAACATTGTAGTATTTGATGTGGACGGCAGGTTACATTCTCATATAGTAAGTCTGTTTCCACAACACTAGAGAGGAACTTGTGCTGTAAAAATAGACTTTTCTGTCAGTTTGTGTCTGATTTTTAAGGACATATTGTTCAGGTGAACTCTAATAAATCTGCATTGTGTTTAGGTTTTAACAAAACAGCATCCCATCTAATAAGGCATAGTGGCTTAGTGACTCTGTCTTGCCTCCTACCGTCATGGCTGTGAGTCCAAATCCTACTGCTGCTGTGCGCAGTTTGCATGGTCTCACTGTGCCGTTAATGTTTCCTCCTGTATTCCAAAGTATACAGTGAAATGAACTGAATCTCAAAATTATACAGTGGTGATTCTGTATACAGGGTGGTACAGTGGTTAGGACTGTTGTCTCGCATCTCTTGGTTCTGGGTTTGAGTCTCTGCCTGGGTTCTATCTGTGTGGAGTTTGCATGTCATTATGCCCCCCCCCCCCACAGTCCAAAAACTGAGGCTGATTGGAGTTGCCAAATTATCCATAGATGTTCTTGGGTGAGTGAATGGTATGTGAGTGTACCCTGCAAAAGGTTTGCCCCTCATCCTGGGTTGTTCCCTACCTTGCGCTCATAGGTTCTGGCCTCCCTGTGACCCAGAATAGGACAAGTGGTTACAGAAAATGGATGGGTGGTTCTGTATATGACTATGTGACCTGCAATGGACTAGACCCCGCCTTCCCAAAATACTCGAGTCCAGTGACCTTGTACTGGATTAGTGGTATGGATAGAAATAGATTTTTAATTTTAGATGTATTTGGACATCAATTATCAGGGCTGGGTGATATGGCAAAAAAAAAAAAAGTTCATTATGATTATTTTTAACAGCTGATATTAATAATTGTTATGGTATAATTCCGGTCATTATTTTATTACTTCCATATTCTTAAAATTTCCTAAAAATGTCCTTCAACAGATTCAGAACATGAAAAAGGTGACATTAAATGAACTGCAAACTGAAATCTAATTTTAATAAATGAATCATACAAAAATAAACTTTCTTTTCATAGAGTGTAACACTAGAAAATGCCAAGAGTATGGTTTGTTGCTGGGTTTTTTCTGTGACTACCTCCTGCTCATTCCAGGGGACGGGTTTTGACATTGCTGGTAGAGTTGTCACCCGTCCAGTAAAACACTGTGTCCCATTTCTAACCAATACAAGGTGCGATTTGTGCCCCATTTCTTCAGATTAAAAAGTGGATCCCGTAATTGCTGCAGTTTCTGACTGTGAGCACTTGCATTCTGCTGGCAGTACTTCAGGTGGGGAAAAATGTTTGCAGTATTTCTGGTTTAGTTTTGGCAGAGTTTACAATACACAGCAGCAGTCCCTTGCATGTCGGACTTTAAACTGCAAAAAGCTCAGCAGAATCTCGCCTAGGGCAGCAGAACACCTGGACTGGCCCTGCTTTTACTCAGTGAAATGTAAACCGTTTCAACTTTTGCTTCTGTTTTCCTAAATATAAAAAGGTGATAGGTATGGTGACTGCATCAATGAGTTGTAATTGTGGCCTTCAGGCAGTGGCAGAACAATTGTACAATGGGCCCTGGGGCAAAAATGTACCATGCCCCCCTTCCCAAATCACACCTAGGGCCTGCCTACGCCAGCTGCAACAGTTGCAGATGATGAAATCCTAAGTAGCCTCCAAATAGCATACCCATCATGCACTGCAGCAGTTCGCAAATTGCTTTTTCATTAAATACGTGCCTCTACAACATAGTTTGACTACAAAACATTACAAAATATTACATTTCAAAATTAAGTACAGTGGTACCTCGGATCTCGAACTTAATCCGTTCTGGACTGCGGATCGAATCCTAAAAAGTTTGAGTTCTGATCGAATTTTCACATAAGAAATAATGGAAAACCAATTAATTGGTTCCCGCCCCCCCAAAATTTCACCTAAATATGTTTTTTTTTTTAAGCATTTAAACACAAAATGAACAGGATGAAACAAGAAGAGCATTTTTTTCTTAAACATCTTCCAAAACGATAAAGATCTTATCCCAACATTACCCCTGTCCTGCCCCGATCGTCTGCTCCTTCCGTGTGCCACGCCCCCTCGTTAACCCCATGTGGAATCCCCATGTGATCAGCTGTTTCTGGTTGTTGTCATTAGTCCTCTGTATTAAGTCCGCGTTTCAGTTTGTTTCCCCAGTTCGGTCATTGGGTGCGTTAGAAGCTGGCTTAAAGCAACGTATTATGGTTAGATGCATTGCGACCTCTCACCCGGCTACACAAATTGGAACACCCGTGCCCTTATTGGCTGAAGAGTTTAGTTACATGCCTGACATTTGTATCCAGGCAGTTCCGATGCGTAATCTACTATTTTTCCCAAATATCACGTAAAGCAGTGAGAACTGGTTTTCAGTTATTTTACCTGGTAAAATAAAGTTTAAATAAATGACATAAATGCTCTAATAGTACACGTA